ATACAAATGGTAATGCATCATTCGTCGTGGATGAGTTACTGTCAAAGTAATTTATGTTCTTTGTCTTCGAAGTAGCAATTTCTGCGCTCTACCGGAATTTCCCACAGAAATGGCCCAAATTTTGAACCCCTATATCTTTATGGGCCGTGACAATCTCGCGTGCTACTGACGTCTATCGTTTGTCGACACGGGAAATCAATCAGCCGTAGGAACACTGCGCATATAAATCAGTTGGAAGAGTGCGCTCCATAAATAAAGTATACGGCCGAGATAATGGCCGGAATTTACCGGACTCGAGAGTTCCACTCCGCCCTGTGTAGTTGAGATGTTGACTTTTTGGCATCACTTCGAACCGGTTAGCCTGTCAATCTGTCCATCAGCTGTTGGTTGAATAAATCATCTGGCAATTGCATACGTCCGTACTTCTGAAAGTTGGAAGCCCCTTAAAAGAGCCTCGTTTCCGGACAGGTTTTAACAGGCAGACTCTTCTGGTTTTGGACCGCATTCGATCGACATCGATTTGCATGCAAAATGCTTTTTGCAGAATTCGAAACTGGGGGAATCCAAAGTTGGGGACTTTTTCTCGGGATTTTCCTTGACGACACGCTCTGGCGGCATGCCATCTGCTGTCTGCCTGGGTCAGTCTGGAAGCCCTAAAAAATTGTGGCTTTAAGTCTGGCTGGTTATTAATCATCTAAGTAGTCATTTCCAAGCACAGTCTTTTTCCCAAATGGCAAACACGCGTTGAGCGGCTGATCGATGGCGCAGAATCAAATATGAATAAGTTACGAACTACGATCCAAATGGACCGATGAAAATCAAACAACTTTTACCCGAAGGTCGAAGACTGGATGCCCTTCTCTTGGGATTTTCACAGGGAAATGCTTCTTAAACTTCTCTTTTCAGTGTGACAACCATCAAGTTCCCTTCTCCTTTTAATACCCATTATACGATTCAGGTTAAAATAATAGTACTGCATGTATAGTATAGAATATTTAAGAGGTCAGATATTAATTATAGTATCTCAAATAGCCAACTATATACTAATGAGTGATCTATTTCTATAAGAATATGTTTAGTCATTTCCCTAATGATTCCTATAGACATACAGTCTCGCTTAATAAAAACTATTACATAATAGATATATCAATAAAGATGAGGTAATAAGTAATGGTAAATTGCCTATTTAGGGGGTTAAAAATATGCATACATATTTTTAGTGTTTAATTGAAAGGTACTACATTTAAGTGGACATATTAAAGAAAGCGCACTTAACGAGCTACTAGATTAAATGACACAGATATTTAAGAGATACTGACCACAATTGTACATTGACCTCCGTAACAATTGATCTCTGCCCGTTCGACATTGCTGGGATACTTTCGCGGCACTTGTTATGAATATTTATAGGTCGCTGACTTGTTTAGGTGATTTGTCGACCGATCGGCGATTATGTGTCGCCGTTGGATATGTAACACTTGTGCGGTCAATTTGCATTACTCATACGCAGCGTAAACCCCCAAGGGGGAACGGTGGGCAAGCACATTAGACAACAATTAAATGTACGTAGCCAGCCCGCCAGCGAGTCAATTATAATTTTGAGTAAATTTAATTTGCTTTTAATTTCGCTGGCGTGCGGATAATTGTCTGTTTATCGTTGGGCTGTCTCCCCGATGTTTTCTCTTCTATCATCTCGAAAAACAAGTAGATTTCGGAGATGGGGTCTTTGGACAGCACAAATCTTCTGTGCGCGTGGGCGGCCTACTTAAGGGGGGATTATTCAGATATATGTGTATATTTTGGCGGCCCTTGAGCATGGCCAGATTTCGGCAGCTATCTGGCCGGAGAAATCTCAAGGTGTGCGGCTATTTTGATAAGGGGAACTCATCTCTCCTTGAGGGTCACATGCCGGAAAGGCTTGTCCATTGGTATGCACTGCTGGTGCCCCACAATCAAGCATGGGCAGCACGTAGAATAACTGTATTCATACACAGAGAAAAATCTTTTAAGTATGCCTTTTTATGTTTTCTAGTGTTGGATATTCACTTGGCTTAGGATAAAGTAAAACAAATGAAATATATTTTCCAAACATTTTTTTTCGGTTCTGAGGTTTTCTTTGTCTGGTTCCAAATGATAACCATTATTAAACAAAGAATCCAAGTATTTCCATAACCCTAAAATAAGTATATTATGAAAATAAAATCTGATTCTGCATAAAAAAGGTTTATAATGTAAATATTGTATACTTTGTATAAAAACGGCTTGAATAAGATAAACATTTTTAAAGCTCGCTGACTTGTTTAGGTGATTTTTAAATTGAGATCTGATACTTATTAAAAAAAGTTCGAATTACATTAGACATTATTATACATTGTTTGTATACAAAATGAACGTGTCTCGAATTATTCCGACATTTTTATAGGTTGCTGACTTGTTTAGGTGATTGGTCCTATGAGTCAGTTAAATAAACCCAACATTTTTATAGTTATTTCTCTCGGTGCATCGCTATCTTTGTATCTGAAACTGCATTGACGGGCGGGTAAACAAAGTTAAAGTTAAGCTCAAACAATTGCAATGAATGACAATCGGCGCTCAAATAAAACTGTTAATTGTGCATTCAGTTAATTGTATAAGATCCCAAACATTACGCAAGCCGATCAGCCGCCTCCCACTGCCTGCCCCGCCCACTGAGCCCCTGGAAAACCCCCTTTCCCCGCCTGTGCAGCGGACTGCATTGAGGCGTGTAAAGTACCCGACGTAAGGCTTCACGTGACTCAAACCCGTCGATCGGGTATCCAAATTCATGATCTCTCTGAATTTACGATGCCGTCTGAGGTCAGCCTGTGCGGCTTTTGGATGACTTCGGCTTAAGGAAGCTGGCGAAAAGCGTGTCAGGGACCAAGTTCAATGGCTACCAAAGATCGGAGCGCTCCTGGAATCCCCGCCATGATGACATATCCATTTCCAAAGTGGCTCCATCTTCTCACGTGAACCGATCCGCTTTGATCCGGTGAGAAGATTGGGGGAGTGGAAAGATGAGGCGTAGCCTGTTTTTTTATCACGGCATTATTCGCAGTGGCAGCGATACTGAATTAATTTGGTCACATGACCGAGCCAGAAGAAAACAAAATGTAGATATATACCTACACAAAAAACAAAAACACATGAGCATCTGGCATTCGTATATTTTTATCCATAACACACACTCATCAGGGGTACTCAAAAGTAAGGCGAAAGTTGATCAACTGTAGCTTGAAAAAGGAGGGAAAACACATAGCTGGGAATTCAAATGTTGTCAATAAACCAATAAGAGTATTCGCCAATAATGTTGCTCTGGAATTGTCTACTTGTTGATAAGAAATGTTTGATTACCATATATTTGCACAACCCAAAGGCAGAAACATGCATCAAGTAATACAATGTTTAAGAGTAGCTATAATATTTTTATAAAAAAATGAGAACTGAAATTCTTAGAAACTAAAGCCATAAATCCTATAATTGTAATCTGCAAATTATCCCCACATAAAAACAGCAAGCTGAGCTTTGTTAAAAACCCAGAGAATATGAAGACCTTTTGAACAAACCGAATGGAGTAACCCTAACGGCGCTTATTTAAATGTAAAGCATATTCAAAATCATCAAAGTGGTAAATTCGAAATGGCCAACTGGTCGTGTGACTTGTTTGTTGTTGCGGCTCTATTCAGAGAGGTTCGTTCTGCCAGACAAAACGCAAATCATCGGAATGTTTGGAGATATCATTCGCCCAGCGGGCAGCTAATAATCATTGTGGCCAGTCCACCCACTCGGGAGCACGGGAGCGGGCAATCCCATCCAGATTACGGCCCATTATACTTTAGACAATTGAGAGGTGCTAACCGCTGGCGTTCAGGCCAATCAGTTTATGGACCCAAAGTGTCGTGCTAATGACTTGCCAACAAGCCGAGCAAATTAACAAATCAATTTCGGAGTGATAAACAAAAAGCCAAACAAGAGAAACAAAAGGCGGAAACAACAAAGATATGGGACCCAAACAATTGGCATTGCAGTGGGAATGCCATGGGAATGATAAAATAAACTAGCCGACAGGCTCCATTAAATGTAAAATGTGATGGACTGTTAATAGGTGGTGGCATAGGAATAAACCCCTGACGGAAGTCGGTTCAATGCACGCGAAAGCAAAGCCAGCAGGGCTAACATGGCGTATGCGCAATGCGGCTGCTTCACGTGACTCGTCGCTGGTGTCTGGGAATGCAAATGGCAACGAGATACCCCTTCGATCTCGGCTAGGGCTTGATTTGCATTTTTTACGCCACTGTATTCAATTCAAATCCAGCAGGTGCCCGAGTTCCGAGATTTGTGGGATTATCTTCTGCTTTACGATGTTTTTGTTTGCGATAAAAAAGCAGCAAGTGTCACGCTGAAGACCGGAGCACAATTTCTGTTTGATTTTCTGGCTGGCAAACAGCGCGAGTTTATCGCACTTGGCCTAGGCAGAGACCTCGCAAATATACGCCATTGGGCAGGCCCAAATATTGGGTGTATGAATCCAGTCCCAGTTCATTCCATCCGATCTCGTCACTGCTGGAACCGCATTCTGCGGCCATCCCTCTGGCATTTAGCAATGCAAATTTACCGACTTCGAGGGGCTAGAAGATAAGGTACCTGACATACCTGATGCTTGATTAATGGACCATGATTTATGTATGAGCCACCTGCCCGGCGGGATTCTCCGGTTGTCTTGTCACGAGAAGCTGCTCGGAGATGGAAAAGTGCTATCTTATCTGCGCTGCACTCGTTTCCGCAGCGGTGTTTGTCAAATAGGAGCGATGCGAGACATCTGTCGGGTACTTTATTTGTTGATCAGGCTAAGACAGAATGCAAAACGGCCTGCAATCGCCCATGTTGATTTACGACCTGCCCAATCAAGAAGTGGCCATAAATTTAGGCGGGCCTTAAGTACCCCAAATTGGCAGCTTTATGAGGGCCCAAACTTTCCAGAGTTGAGTACAATCAGCTTTTATTTGGACAAAGTTGTGGGATCTTAAGAACTAGAAGAACGTGGTTAGCCTTCGATGAACGCGCAACGTGTAGTACAGTGTGGAGTATATGTGGGGCCTAAAAGTGTGCTACAGTTAGGTTGGATCATTCATTTTTATTTGAGCAAACTTTGCTATGATGTCTAAAAGCGAAAAACAAACATAGACCGGCCCAAGACGAGCCGTCTGCAACACTATTTTGTGACTTGTGAGTGGTTGTGTGAGTGGTATGGTCCCTAATCCTCCAGCGTTACGTTGCGGAACAGATAGGACATAGACTCCTTGTTGTGGATGCGCCGAATGGCCTCAGCGATCAGAATGGAGATGTCGATCGTCTTGATCTTGTGGCACTGCAGCTTCTGGATCTCGTGTGGAATGGTATTGGTGACAACGATCTGTTTGTTGATGGGAGCATGGAATATAATCAAATAACAAAGGTAAGACAAGAGTAATGGACTCCAAGACCCACCTCATCGATGGGCGACTCATCCAGCTGACGCGGTGCATCTGAGCTGAGCAGACCATGCGTGGCCAGCACGTAGATCTTGCAGGCTCCGTGCTCCTTCAGCATCTCAGCGGCTGCCACAAACGCCTGGACATCGTCGATCAGGTCATCCTGGGACAGAGAAGGTATGAGAATTGATCGAGGAACTAAAAAAGGAAACCAATACTCACCACCATGATGGCGATACGACCGCTGACATCGCCCACAATGGTCAGTGGGGGCTTGACCTTGACAATGTGCTCCGGAACACCCACCGAAACCGAGGTGGTCCGCTGGCGGGTGCTGCTGGTTGGGGCGTGTTGTGGAGTAGAGTTTCTAGTGGTTAGTGTGGGGCAGTTCACGTGGATTGCGGTTCGAGTGGTGCAATGTGGTGCATTGTGGTACATTGTGGGTTGGTTTTTGTCGAGGTGGTGGTGCGTTTCATTGGTTGGTCGGATCGTAATCGAAACCAAAAAAGAAAAGAATCGTGTGGGTGGGTTGGAAAGTTGGTGGAGTGGCGGCGTGGGTGGTGGGAAAAAGTACAAATGGTAGTTGATTAAAAATTATAATTTAACTGAATGGAAACAATAGTTAAAAATACGAACCTAGGCGTCGCTGGTAAGCACATTTCAACTGAATTTCCTAATAAATTGCTATACGCACTGCATAACACAAATAAAGAGAAATTTCGATGGTTTTTCTGTTTTCTGGATTTTAAATTTTGACAAGAGAACGGCTCCAAGTGCCCACCAAAAAGTGTCGAGGTTTTAGAGACACGTGTGGAGCGTAAAAACAAAATAGCAACATTGCCAAAACGCAAAATGTAAAAACACTTCAAAAGTGAACAAAGCAGTCATACAGGATATTGAAAATATATCTAGATAATCTACGTAAAAAAGTGTCTGCCTAGGCTGTGAAGTACAAACAAAAGCCAGTGACAGAAGCTGTAATAATAATAGCGATAGTGATATTATGGATACGTGCAATTTAAAGTCAGGAAAAAGGTTACGTACAGAACTTGTACTTGAAATTCTATTCAAGTATTATAAAACAGTGTATACAGCTAGGATAGCTTATCAAAATTAGTCATTAGCAATGCTTATGCGATTTTTAAGATCTTAAAGATTATTTTAATCAACCAAAATTGAGTTAATCTTATATTGGGAAAGGATTAAATTAGATTAGATAAAATGTTGTTCTGTTTTATTTATATTTTAAAAATTTGAAAAAAATTTTTATTATAGAGGATTTGTCATAGATTGATTATAACATTTGCTTGATGGATGATCGACATTCTAGTGCTTTTTAATCAACAAAACAGAGATTAGTGAAAGTGCAAATTACTCGATGTGAAGTGCATCCAGCTTCAGTCATAGGAGAAAGCTCAAGGTAAACAGAAACTAACCAGCAAAGCTAACAGCAAAATCAGAATAAATCAGCTAACAAATCAAACGGAAACCTTTCAACTAAAAAACTTAGCCTAGGGATCAGCGAGGCCCACTTTTGGGACTGAGGATGTGCAACTCACCTGGTCGGTGGAGGGGAGTACCGACCGTCGACCTCGTCGGCATCGGTCTCCTTCTGTTCGCCGTGGATGACGGCCAGGCCAAGACGCAGTCGCTCGGCATAGGAGTTGGCCTTCTTGGCCACTCCAGGATTACGGGCCACAATCACCGAGTTGCGATAGTCGGGAATCTGCGGGGAGTATCACACTTAATTACATTCTTAGTTTAAACAGCCTTTAGTTAAACCCACGCTCTCCTGAATGTATTGGAGCAGAAAGGGCGACGCCCTCAGATTGTCCACGGGTATGTCGAAGAAGCCCTGGATCTCCTTCTGGTGCAGATCCATGGTGATGATGTGGGTCAAGCCCGAGGTGCACATCATCTTGGCCAGCAGCTTGGACACAATGCAGCCGCGCTTGCGCATCTTGCACTGCTTGGAATACGGCAAGTATGGAATCACTCCCACGATCGAGCGGGCCGAGGAAGTCTTGCAGGCGTAGGCCATGATCAGCAGCTCCATGATGTTGTTGTTGGCATCCCTTTTGGGGTAGGGGATGGCAATTAATATACATTTCAGGATCAGGAGTAGCGACTCACTTGGTGCCCGTTTGGATGATGTAGATGTCCTTGCCTCTTACGGAATCACTGATCTCCACAATAGTCTCTCTGTTGGACTTGTGGAACACGGAGCAGCCGCCGTTCTTGATGCCCATCCGCTCGGCCACCATGTTGGCCAAATCCGGATGAGAGTTGCCATTGATGATGACAATGTCCGAGGTGGAGGTGTTATCCATGTCGCTCCTGCAACGCTTTGGTGGCCGTACGCTGCCTAATCTGCAAGGGATTTTAGGGGTTAATACGGGTCATTATAGACGAAAAGCAAAGCAAAACCATAACCAGACATTAACTTGGGCTAAGTTGAGTGCTACCTTCGTTTGGACATGCTGTCTTGGGTTTTTTCTGAGGTTAAGGGTTACGGGTTAAGCCAATGGGGTGTCGTCGGGTTCATTCACTGGCATACACTGGTCGGCATATGTATTTTGACAAAATAAAAGTTAAGTATACTCATAACTTGAATTTACTTCTTGTAAACTATAGGCATCAATGGAAAGGTAATTTCAATGCCGTTTGAATGATACAATACATTTCTTTACCCATTCAGTACTTATTGAAAAGGACGAATTTGTGTAAATCAACTTTGAAATTTTAAAAAAAAACTTTTTTCCTCGTCTTGAAAACTTAAATTTTTTGATGCAAAAAGTTTCTTCAAACAAAAATAATAGTAACTGCAAAAAGAATTTTTCAAATATCATTTTGCTTATATTTTTTATGATTTTTTGAAGGTGACAATGTCGGAAAAAATTTGTATGAAAAAGACAAAAATATGGCTCAAATGCCTGTTTTTAAGCATTTTCAAAAATTCATAAAAAATATAAGAAAAATGATTTTTGAAAAATTCTTTTTGCAGTTACTATTTTTTTTGTTTGAAGAAACTTTTTGCATCAAAAAATTTAAGTTTTCAAGACGAGGAAAAAAGTTTTTTTTAAAATTTAAAAGTTGATTTACACAAATTCGTCCTTTTCAATAAGTACTGAATGGGTAAAGAAATGTATTGTATCATTCAAACGGCATTGAAATTACCTTTCCATTGATGCCTATAGTTTACAAGAAGTAAATTCAAGTTATGAGTATACTTAACTTTTATTTTGTCAAAATACATATGCCGACCAGTGTAATCGTTAAAGTAACACACACGCAGTCGTTACGGTTCCCACGTTGCGATGTGCGACCGTATCGATTAGCCCCAGTGAACCAAATAGCCTCGGCTCTTTTTGGGTGAACGCAATTAGTCCTGCCTCTTCTCTCGGTTGCCCAGTTCTGGAAACTGCTCTCTGGCTGCGGAGGAGCCCAAAACCACAGGCGCACCAGAGGCCCTTAGCCGGAAACTACTGCGAATTATCGACCAAACAGCGGAAGGCGACACACGTGAGTGGCGTGGCAACGTCAAAGTGCCAACATGCGAATCACAGTTCCGGAGTCCGCAGGCCGGATTCCGGATTCCAAGGCAGTCGTCTGATGTGCGGTGCGGAGGAAGCGGCGAGGAGCGACCAGGAGCTGCCCAGGATTAGCAGATAGAGATCGACCTCCAGCGCCAAGACTTCGCACGCGACTTCCTTGGGACTTGGGCGCCCACTTCAGCCGGGAAAAGTGAAAGGCCAGGAGGCGTTGGCTAATTGAATTTCTATTTTCGATCCTGCCCCAAGAAAAGCAGCCTCAAAGCAAAGAGAAGTCAGAAGCGGAATGGGCGACTCAGGTGAGTGAAATGGCCATAAATGTGCGCCAGCGATAAGGATGTTAAGGGAAATACCCCCGCGCAACGAAAGCTGAATACACTTATGCTAATACAAACGTGATTAGGAATATATATTCAGTAAATAGAGGCATAGCTAATTGGAGCTCATATACTATTAAAAAATATAGGTGTAGAGTAACAGACCATTTGGGGCTTTATACAAATGCTTGGATTGTTAAAAGTAATATCAAACAAGACGTGATGGTAGTGATATTATAGTACAATGTTTTTAAGTATATTTAAATGTTAATAAGGCTTTAAATCTATTCTTCATACCCACTAAATTCAAAAAACCCCAAGTTAGAGTATAAATGAAGCTATTTCAAGACCTTTCAAGCCTCGAGACATTCACCTCCGGCTTTCAACTCAGGATTGTGTTGGGATTGGGTTTGGGTTTGGGTTTGGGAGCCGACGCAACCGCGAGGCGACTATTCAATTTTAGACATTTGACGTCTTGAGTTGCTCGAGGCCCAGCCAAAAGGCGTTGGCAGGTGCAGCGATTGCAATGGAAACTTGCGGCACGCATATGTGGCACAAGGAAAATAAAGGCGGGATGAGGATGCCTGGGTTTAAAGATAGCAGCTCGGTGGGATTAGGTGGAGTAGGAGCCCCAGGCCGCGAAAGTTATGACAGGCCGGGCTGAGGCAAAAACCTCGAAGGATTAGGGCCACTCCACTCGGCTCAGTTGCATTAGAAGAACCTAGATTTTTGCCAGAGAAAGACGCATTAGCGGAAAAGACTCATCATGTTGGGAATAGCCTGCGATCCGCTCCAGCATACGAGCATGTACGAACGCGGCTCTGATGGTACTAAGAATGATCTACTTCACACACAGATTAGAAACTGAGTGATAAGTATTTAAGATTGCAAAGGCTAAGATCACGAACACATTTTTGGAAATATACTATCAGCTAAGCTCTTAATTCTTATCAGTATATTGTATTGTATAATAGAAAGTTTAAGACTGGTTTAGCTCAAAGACTTTTGTTCATAGATTATCCCCTTCTTATGCTAAATCTTTACAGATAGCGAAGACAGCGATGGAGAAGGCGGTCTGGGCAACGTCTCCCGGGTTATCATCCGCCCGCCGGGTCAAAGTGGCAAGGCCAAGAGAGGCCACCTCTGCTTTGACGCGGCTTTCGAGACGGGAAATCTGGGAAAAGCGGAGCTGGTGGGCGAGTTCGAGTACGACTTGTTCCTAAGACCGGATACTTGCAATCCGCGCTTTCGCTTCTGGTTCAATTTCACCGTGGACAACGTGAAACAGGATCAGCGAGTGCTCTTCCACATTGTGAACATCAGCAAGAGCAGGAACCTGTTCTCCTCGGGGCTGACTCCTTTGGTGAAGAGTTCCAGCCGACCCAAGTGGCAGAGGTTGTCCAAGCGCCAGGTGTTCTTTTACCGATCGGCGATGCACCAGGGGCATTATGTGCTCAGTTTCGCCTTCATTTTCGACAAGGAGGAGGACGTCTATCAGTTCGCCTTGGCCTGGCCATACAGCTACTCCCGTTTGCAGTCGTATTTGAATGTGATTGATGCCCGACAGGGAGCGGATAAGCGGTTCACACGATGCGTGCTCATCAAATCGTTGGTGAGTCTTACGATTATCCAGGTTAAAGGGCTATCCAAGAATTTGTTTCCCTCCAATTCAGCAAAATCGCAATGTGGACCTGCTGACCATCGACCATGTGACTGCCAAACAGCGCTCCACGAATCGCTTGGATCGCAGCTTCATCCGGGTGATTGTGATTCTCTGCAGGACGCACTCCAGCGAAGCTCCAGCCTCTCACGTGTGCCAGGGTCTGATCGAGTTCCTGGTGGGCAATCATCCCATTGCCGGCGTTCTGAGGGATAACTTCGTCTTCAAGATTGTGCCCATGGTGAATCCGGATGGCGTCTTCCTGGGCAACAACCGCTGCAATCTGATGGGCCAGGACATGAATCGCAACTGGCACATTGGCTCGGAGTTCACGCAGCCAGAATTGCATGCGGTAAAGGGCATGCTGAAGGAGTTGGATAATTCAGATGTGAGTAGAAAGTTTAAAAGGAGACTTTTCGTATAATCTGTGATATTGGATAGTTGTTATATCCTTAATCATTCGTGTTGAGATATGTTTAACTACTATCAATATAAGGGATATTTCTTTTTTAACATGAATTATAAAATACAGTTTTTATCTTTCAGTCCAGTATCACATGGCTATCATTGTACTCACTTAATCCTTAACCCCTCTATCTGAAACATCCCATCCAGACCTATCAGATTGACTTTGTGATAGATCTGCACGCCAATAGCAGCATGCACGGTTGTTTTATCTACGGGAACACCTACGAGGATGTCTATAGATACGAGAGGCACCTGGTTTTCCCCCGACTCTTCGCCAGCAACGCTCCGGACTATGTGGCGGATCACACGATGTTCAATGCGGACGAACGAAAGGCGGGCAGCATGCGGAGATTCAGCTGCGAGAGACTCAGTGACACGGTGAATGCCTACACTCTGGAGGTCTCCATGGCGGGTCACTACCTCAAGGATGGCAAGACCATCTCCCTGTACAACGAAGACGGCTGTGAGTGCATCTTAGGGGACATCTTTTATAAGTAGTTTTACTAATAAACGCTCTTTGACATCCAGATTACCGGGTGGGCAGAAATCTGGCCAGGACCCTGCTGCAATACTATCGCTTTATCAACATCCTGCCCATGCCGATTGTGACCGAGGTTCGGGGCAAAAGGCGGGGGCGAAACCGCCATGCCCACCACTCTCGATCCCGCTCGAAAACCCGCTACGAGGTGAAGCCCCGGCCCAAAACGCCTCGGTGCCACGCCCCCATTGCCTACACCAACCTGAGTATATGCTATGACTCGGGGGGAGGAGGCGGATCCTCGGACGAGGGTGGATTCTCACCCACTCGACCCTTGGCCCCCGGAAGCAGTTGCTTCAGCGGATACCGGAATTACCGGAGGGCTGCCACCGCCAGTTGCTCCCAGCACCCCGGACACGATCAGTATTCCCCCTTCGCGCTGGGAGCCCTGAAAACGGGCAGCGACCATGGCGGTGGTATTGGTGGCTCCAAGGGCAAGAGATCAGCAGCGGTCACCATCGAGGTTCCGCTGCCCGTGAATGTGCCTCCCAAACCATATCTGTCCATCATCGATTTGAACCAACTGACGAGGGGAAGTCTGAAACTGAAGTCCAATAGCTTCGACGCCGCGGACAGGAGATAGGATCAGTGATATGATATGCAAAAGCGTTAGTGATCACCGTCGTTAAGGATCCGAGCAGAATGATGGGTTGTTTTAGGTATAATCAAGTCTTTTCTACGCTTCCTGCTTGTTTTTTTAAATAAAAAGTTAACTATTAATCCGAAATATTACTCAAATTTATTGTTACTAATGTATTAAACCAAACACAATATTTTTAGCGCCCTTTGAAAAACACCACACTCAGCAACGCGTATTTAAATTACAAGCCCAGAAGAAGGTAAACAACATTTTTATTGTTTACTAAGAGATCGGCCTTATCAAAGAGCCATGAATAGAAAAACTCAAACAAGTTATTTGATTCTTTGCACTACAATCAATAGAGAGTTCCCAGTGGTATGGATTTTGTTTATAAATAAATACCTCCTACTCCTCACCGTTTTTGAATTATAAAATCGGTGTTGTAGATTCTTTGGGTTCTTGAATTGATTCAGATTGTTCAGTTAAAGGTGCTGAAAGTAGCCATAATAACATAAAACTAATTGGATTTTTTTTTACATTTTTTTTTTAGCAATGTACTTGATTTTCTTCTGTACGTTTTAGGATTTTTGAGAAAGTTTGAAAAGAGCAATGGATTCTATTTTTGACTCAGTTGATAAGAAATGTGGATGTTTTCAATTCCAGGTTTTAAAGGTACGGTATGAACCCTCAAAATGGTCTTAGTCTCAGGATCACTGTTTTGAAATCCATTGGGTTATTCACCCCCCTCTCCTTTGTGTCCTTCTTCTAAACAAACATTTATGCGAGCACTTTTCACTCCGAAAAACGAAGGGCAACAAGTCGGGCGATTGAGTAATATTTTTGAGTGATTTGGCTTATCTCCGCCCGCACTGTTGTTGTTTTTCAGCTCTTAATTTGGCTCGCAACCAGAAAATAAAAAAGAACAAATTGCGCTCAATTGGCGACATGTGAGTTTTTATCACACTATTTAGATGCGGTTATTTACAGTTATTCACAGCGAACAAAGAGTCGTAAGTGCGATGAGTGACCCTAAATTTCCTCGCAGCGCACGTGAGTGTGAGTGAAAGTTCCTTGGTGACAATCACTCATCACTAATTGGATGGATTAGCTGGCACTTTTATCTTATCTTTTATCAAACACGACATCAGTATAACCTCCTTGGAATATGGAAATGCTGTACACATACAGTCTACACCCACACCCACTCACGCAGTAAAAACACGCGCGAAAGTGTTGATAACAGCACAACCCGATGGCGACTGAACAAAAAACGAGCTTCTCGACTGATTAACGCTTTCAATTAACACGAAATCGGATCCGGAATCGGAATAGAATCAATAAAAAACTCACTTCTTTTTCTTATAAATAAAAGCGAATGACTGTGGACAAAGTGGAGCGAAAAAGCGAGGGCTGCGCGGCGTTGCCAGATCGCTGGAGTGAGGTGGTGGTGGTGGGAAACAGCTGTTGCGGTTTTGAGTGAAACTGGCAAGTAACTGTACAAATGGACAGGCAATTTAAGATATTTTCAACTCATACATAGTTAGTTTAGTTTTAATGAGTTTTTAACAATTAGCTTCTTTTCTTAGTAACGTCTTTTTTGCCTTAGAACATGCAGAACACAACAAAGTGCATCTTTCTCTTTAAGCTTTACGTGTACATGTTTGTGAGAGTTTGAAATGTGCACTGAAAAAAATGTACAATAAAAAACATTTTAAAAATAACTTATAGTAAAATAAGTACACTTTCAATGTCACACAAAAAATGAAATGGTGTTCCAAAACACTGAATAATAAATACAAAGTACAGTACATTTTTCTTCACTGTACAGTGTACACACTCTCTTATTGAGCGCAATGCAGAAAGAGAGAACTGCCACAGAACGTGGAGAGCAAAACAAAGAGGAGATAGAGAGGCAGGCGAACGCCGATGAAGTAACCAAAACGAGAACGGCAAAAACAACAACAAAAGCGAAGCTAAAAATAAAAGCAAACACAAATTCCAGTACAAAACAAGGAAAAGGGGGGAGGTTTTCGCTCTTGTTAGCACGCAATTGATAAAAAATTGGTAGACAAACAGAACAAGTAATTGAAATCCATCAAAACCTGGCTATAATCTCCGCGGGCACTGGAAACGGACAGGGAAAACGGAAAAGAACGGGTTAAACACAAAATTAGAGAGAAAATGGGGAAAATGTGAGGAAAAGGAGGCATAAACACACGCAAACAGAGGGACACTAATTAAATTATACATGAACAACACACAGAAATGATATAAAAAAGCGAGAAAAGAGCCGCTTTAAAGTTTTACTTGTTCCTCTGCAGCAGCATGTTGTAGTTTTTAGGTAGATTTCACTGTATTTCTCTGTCGCTTATTGATTTGTGTTTAAGTTTACTCTTATTATGCTTATGTATATCCTGTTTTTACTGTTCTTAACCGGCAGAAAAAAGTGGAAAATTGTTATAGGATAGGCACAATCACACACTCGCTATTAATATGCACTATGAATAGTTGGTAATTAGTAATTACTCTTTTTCGCACGACACTGCTATATTTATTTTCACTTCTCCGAAAACTCGGAGAAAAAAACTGGTAAAAATCCTCGCAACTTATTCGAACAGCTGTTGAATCGATGTTTTTATATATATCGATTGTTTTCGCTTAGTGGTGGCCTCACGACCACCGCGATAGTATCGAGGCTGACACCCTATTTCATTAAAAAGCCATGGAAACTCTTTTACGTTTCAAAATTAAATAAATTCACACTACCATATATGGTCTTTAAACAGTTGGGTGTCCTTATAAATAAATGCAATTTACTATAGGTAATCATCTTGAAATATGATTAACCTATAAACGTAAGATCTGTACTTAATACCGATTGAAATCCAAAATATGATCTTTTTTTACTATTCCTAATGTATGTTTTATTTGATATATTATAGCAGAACATAGAAATAGAAATAAATAGAAAATATAAATAATTCTATAAACGTAGACGTACATAATCACGGATTAACTGTTTTCGTCAGGAAAAGTGTGTCAAGTGCTAGTTAGCTTAATTACAGGGGAACATACATGCAGTCTTGGTGTGGTTTCTTAAAATCTAGTTAAGTGTGGACTGTGTTTAGGTGCCGCTTAAGACTACAAAGCTGATTAAAACTAGATGAGCAACGGGAACACTTGTAGGGTCGTTCTCCCGTGTGGGTCAGTAGATGCCGCTTGAGACTTGTCGGTTGGGAAAAGCATTTGGAGCAGGTGGTGCACTGGAATGGTTGCTCGCCAGTGTGCATTCGCAAGTGGGACTGAAGTTGCTGCTTTAGAAAGAAAGACTTTGGGCATTCGGTACACTTGAAGGGCTTAACACCCCTCACTCGCCGCAAGTGCGCCTGAAGGTTTGCGTTCTGGATATAGGACCTCGAGCAGTGGTCGCATTTGAACGGCTTTACTCCTGCGTGGGTTCTCAGGTGATGGTTGAGATTCGAAGAGCAATGAAAACTCTTCGGGCACAGATAGCACTTGTAGGGTCGTTCGTTCGTGTGAATTCGCCGGTGTCTCTGCAAGCCATTAGCCTTGGGGAAGGACTTGGGACAATAGGGGCACTTGTGACGGTTTTCCTTGGTGCCGTTCTGGTTAGTACCCTTGTCAGAAGCAGGTAGTGCCTCTTTGTCAGCAGGCACTGCCTCTTTATTAGCAGGTACTGGAGTTACATTAACAGGTACTGTATTTTCACCACCTTCAGGGTCCTCATCCGATGGGAAGTAGTCTGAATCATTATCAGCATCATCCTCTAGTTCGTTTTCCTTGTCGCTCAAATCCTTTTCCTCGGGTAAAAACATTCCCTGCAAATCCTCCTCCATTTCACTGTACAACTGAGAGCTCCTTTCGTAGGTTTTCTTTATATCGAAAGCATTTTGCACTTCCTGCAGGCAAATGGCACAAATGGTTTGGGGAAACAGGTCTCCTTTCTCAACTGTATAGCCTGTACACTCAGCAATCATGCTACCAATGGAGACACCGAGTTCAAGTTCTTCAAATATGTTGACCATATTTATGGAGTAGCCCAAGCAAACTCGGCATAAAGATGACTCCATCATTCTGAAATTGAACTAAACTTTATGTGGTGCTTATTGCAAATGAATTCGCTTTATTTCGGTAATGGTACAGCCAGAAAATAGAGATCAAGTTGGGGGTTGTTTATAACTGGGTATTAGAGATGACAAAAACTCAGTGATACTATCAACGCTGAAAATAAGGTATTTTTTAGGTACTGGCGGGACGTCTGAGTACACTGCTTGGGATGGTAACTCCGCTAAAGAAGAAGGCGCCAATCCTGAGTGGGTTCGTGTATTCTCTAATTGCACTGTGGACAGATAATATCTAGACCTTCTATTTAAACTTTGATACTAACAGTTTTTAATACTAAAAATTAAGAGCGTTTGTGGGAAGTTTTTTTAATTTGAAATTTTATAGGTTTCTTAATTTTTTTTTGGCCCGTTTGAATTCATGTCCCAACCCAATTGAATTGTTTAGGCTCCACACCCCTAATTGCTGAACTCAAATACACTTTGTTAATACAATTCCACTTTAAATTAGGCTGCATTGTATGCTGTTTTTCAACATTACTTCAACCCGCTTAATTTAATAAGCTTTTATCATAACAGGATGTTTTTAAGAGCTTTTGGAGGTTGATGGGGATAGTATTTCGTATGTTTTTTGGGTACAATATATGGTTTTAAAAAAATTGGGTGCCCTTATAAATAAATGCATTTTACTCTAGGTAATCATCTTAAAATATGATTAACCTATAATTGTAAGATCTGTACTTAATACCAAATTATGATTTTTTTTCACTATTCCTAATGTATATTTTATTTGACATATTATAGCAGAACAAGGAAATAATTCTATAAACGTAGACGTACATAATCACGGATTAACTGTTTTCGTCAGGAAAAGTGTGTCAAGTGTTAGTTAGCTTAATTACAGGGGAACATACATGCAGTCTTGGTGTGGTTTCTTAAAATTTAGTTAAGTGTGAACTGTGTTTAGGTGCCGCTTAAGACTAGAATGCTGGTTAAAACTCGATGAGCAACGGGAACACTTGTGGGGTCGTTCTCCCGTGTGGGTCAGTAGATGCCGCTTGAGACTTGTCGGTTGGGAAAAGCATTTGGAGCAGGTGGTGCACTGGAATGGTTGCTCGCCAGTGTGTATTCGCAAGTGGGACTGAAGTTTATGCTTTTGAAAGAAAGACTTTGGGCATTGGGTACACTTGAAGGGTTTTTCACCCCTTACTCGCCGCAAGTGCGTCTGAAGGTTTGCGTTCTGGGTGAAGAACTTCGAGCAGTGGTCACATTTAAAAGGCTGTACTCCTGCGTGGGTTCTCAGGTGTTGGTTGAGATTCGAAGAGCAATGGAAACTCTTCGGGCACAGATAGCACTTGTAGGGTCGTTCGTCCGTGTGAATTCGCCGGTGTCTCTGCAAGCCACAAGCCTTGGGGAAGGACTTGGGACAATAGGGGCACTTGTGACGGTATTCCTTGGTGCCGTTCTGGTTAGTACCCTTGTCAGAGGCAGGTAGTGCCTTTTTATCAGCAGGTACTGGAGTTACATTAACAGGTACTGTATTTTCACCACCTTCAGGGTCCTCATCCGATGGGAAGTAGTCTGAATCATTATCAGCATCATCCTCTAGTTCGTTTTCCTTGTCGCTCAAATCCTTTTCCTCTGGTAAAAACATTCCCTGCAAATCCTCCTCCATTTCACTGTACAACTGAGAGCTCCTTTCGTAGGTTTTCTTTATATCGAAAGCATTTTCCACTTCCTGCAGGCAAATGGCACAAATGGTTTGGGGAAACAGGTCTCCTTTCTCAACTGTATAGCCCGTACACTCAGAAATCATGCTACCAATGGAGACACCGAGTTCAAGTTCTTCAAATATGTTGACCATATTTTTGGAGTAGGCCAAGCAAACTCGGCACAAAGATGACTCCATCATTCTGAAATTGAACTAAACTTTATTTGGTCCTTATTGCAACTGAATTCGCTTTCTTACGGTAATGTTATAGCCAGAAAATTGAGATCAGGTCGGGCAAACTGGTTTGTTTATAACTGGGTATTAGAGATGACAAAAACTTAGTGATACTATCAATACTGAAAATAAGGTTTTTTTTTGTACTGGCGGGACGTCTGCGTACACTGCTTGGGATGATAACTCCGCTAAAGAAGAAGGTGACAATTCTGAGTGGGTTCGTGTATTCTCTAATTGCACTGTGGGACAGATTAAATACATTTAAATAGCTATTCTTAATAGTTCCTACAGTCCTGGACCTTCTATTTAAACTTTAATGCTAACAGTTTTTAAAACTGAAAATTAAGAGCGTTTGTGTGAATTTTTGAATTTTTATAGGTTTCTTAATTTTTTTTTTTGGTTGGTTTAAATTCATGTCCCAACCCAATTGAATTCTTTAGGCTCCACACCCCTAATTGCTGAACTCAAATACAATTAATACAATTCCACTTTAAATTAGGCTGCATTGTATGCTGTTTTTAAACATTATTTTAACCCGCTCTATTTAATATGCTTTTATCGTAACAGGATGTTTTTTGGGAGCTATTGGAGGATGATGGGGATAGTATTTCGCATGTTTTTTGGGTACTAAGGAAAGAAGATTGGACGATACTGTGTACAGATAAGATTTTTGTTTGTTGACTTGCCAAAAACGAAATCACATTTATTGGGATTTGACCTATCACACTTTGTTATCTGGGGAAATGCCAAGCTCGGCTGAATTCGTCATAAATATAGACTCTCCTTCCAGCTATAATTCAGTGTAATTAAAAGTCGCCGGAAGCACAGATCGAGTGCTGATCGAAATGAATTACGGGTGTTAAACGATTTCTCTGTCGATTTTGGCCTTGGTCGTGTTATCCCACGGTGCCAATTTGCCGTCCAACAAAATTCTTGAACCCAAAACTCTTGAATATTGTTTTCCGGTTATCGAGCCCATCCTCGAACACTTTATAGAGCTCACGTCAGCGGTCGATGCCACCAAGGAACTAAACAAACAAATAAGTTCCTTGTCGGGTACTATTAAGGATTTGGAGAGCAAGCTGGCCATTGCTGAGGTGCAACTTAAATCCAAGGATGAGGCAATTAACGCAAAAAACGATTTAATTAAAATAAAAGATGAACTGCAGTCCGAAATAGCGGTTGCTAATTGTCAAATCAAGTTAAATACAAAAGACAACGAAATACTTATAAAAAGTGGAGAGTCCAAAAATAAAGACAACCTAATAAAGTTAAGGGATGAACAAATCGCGGAACTGAAAGCCAATATTAACAACTTGAAAAGGCAGTTGCTAAGTGCTGAGGATCAAGTCAAAACCAAAGAAGATGTTTTAAAAGCTAAATCTATGGAATTGGATGAGAAAACTGAGAAACTCGAACGTAGAGATGACCTAATAATACAAAATCAATATGAAATCAGCCATCTAATCGAAGCGATGAAAAACAAAACTGATGAAATTAATGAGCTACGTACTCAACTTTCGGCTAAAGACACCGAAGTCGAGGCTTTGAGCAATCAAGTGAAATCGGATTTGGAAACAGTAACTGAAAAAGAAAATCAACTTTTATTGTGCACTGCAACAGAAAGTTGTCTAACTGGCCGTCCAAATGATATTTATAAAATAAAGTTACCCGAAATGGATTTATTCGAAGCTCCCTGCAATTCAAGTGGTTGGATGACCATCCAAAGGCGTCAGGATGGCTCGGTGGACTTTGATCTGGATTTTAAGGAATATAAGCGTGGTTTTGGCGTTTTAGTTGGAGAATTTTTCTTGGGACTAGAGAAACTGCACCGGTTGACCAAAGATAGACCTCACGAGCTCTTTATCAAGCTAGGCAAGTCTGATGAATCCACGAGCTATGCTCATTACGACAGCTTTGAAATTGCCGGGGAGGAAGATAATTACAAGCTGGTATCGGTGGGCGATTATTCCGGTACAGCCGGAGACGCCTTAGATGATCTGGTGGGGTCAAAGTTCAGCGCCGTTGATCGGCCTAATCCAGCAGATTGTTCTACAACTAACACTGGTGGTTGGTGGTACAGCAAATGCTCATACATAAGGTGTGTTTCCAAAATCTATTTAAAATATATGTACTAAACAATTCATGTTGCAGTGCGCTTAATGGAAAGTACCATGCGGATGGGGTGTGCCCAGAATTTGCAGGAATTCGTTGGAACACTTGGGAAGAAGATGATGCGGTTTCTCTCACCTTTACTGAAATGCTGATAAGGCCCAAATCCCTGTAAGCTTTAAATGTAAAGGAAAAAATAGGATTTCTTTTGCAAACAATTAAAATACAAGGCACTTACTGATTTTTTGTAAATTCAATAGGTCTTGTCTATGAAATAAAGCAAATACCTACTAAACTATTTTTTTATTGGGACCCCATTCGTTTTTGGCATAAATAATTTTGTAAAGGTGCTTTAGGTGCCCCTTTTGGCCTTTAATTTTAATATTCAGCGACTCCAGTGATTGTCTTTGACGCAATAATGTCTACAGATAACCTATTGGTCCATTTTGATTGTTTGTACTAATTAATGATAATGCCCAAAAGGCTATTAAATCTTTTGCAAAACGGATGATTCATTAGAATTAATTGTAATTTTATTTAAACTTGTCATAAAAATTAAGGTGTCACCAAACTCTTGTACATCTCAAAGAAAATTCATACTTTTCTTAAATGGAAAAATACTACTTAGTCACAGTTATTAGGCCAGGGCGAATTCATTAGGTTCCAGTCCAGGTGTTCTTCTTCCTGAAGATCAGTTTACCTCAAAACACATCCACGTCATGGCTGTGTCACCTTGGTCGCTGATTCTACTGCTGATCCTGGGCTGTCCCAGCTACAAGGCCCTCGATGAGAAGCGGATTCGGGGAGTGCTGAACCTGGAACGCGATCTCCTACAGAACCTCCGCGAATATGCCGAGAAGCTGGAGGAGAAGATCAGTCTTATAAACAAGTGAGCTCGTAAAGGTGTAAGGGTGATTAAGGTGTAAGCTTCCCTTCCTTGCAGTTCTTTGGATGAGTACATCGACGAGATAGACGAGGCCAAGAAGGATCCGGAGGAGTACCTCTCCAATCCGCTGAATGCCTTCCGACTGATCAGGCACATGCACCAGGATTGGGTCGGCTGGCAGGTGTACATGGAGGAGCAGGTGGGCCGTGAACAGGTGTCCAAGATGGAGCGCCTACTGCCAAAGCTCCCTCAAAAGTCGGCCTTCAAGAAGGCGGCCAAGGATGTGCATAATCTGACCCGATTCTATGGCTACGAACCCGCTGATCTGGTGGCTAAAAATGAGCTAAAGAGGTTGGATATATGTGATATATGCGAAAATCAATACATTTTAAATATTTCCTTTTCACTTAGCCCCCTCCATCTTTCCCCCCTGGACTGCTATTACTTGGGAATGGAGCTCTACGAGGAGCACGATTACCTGGGAGCAGCCAAGTGGTTGCAAGTAGCTGCCCATAACTACACTCGCTCTAGATACAGTGATCTTTTCCATCTTTTGGGGGCACCACGCTGGCAGGTCTTTCGAGATCTGGGCAGAACCCTATTTAAGCTGAGTAAGCTCTGAATCCCTCCGGAAGTCCATTAATAATGCATGTATGTCTCACAGATCGGGAGTCCGCCTATGCTGCCTACGATTCGGCACTTCGGTTGAATTCCCAGAACGTCCACCTCATGCAGGAGATTGGTCAGATGGAGCTGTTCACCCTGAGGGACCCTATGGAACCCATACTTGATCCTGAACCAAATCCCACCCTTCAGGAGAGCCACTGTCGAGGCAACATTACTCCAAAAAAGGGTAGTCTGCAGTGCGAGATCAACACCTGGGTCCACTTATTCCTGGAATTCGCTCCCTTAAAGTTTGAGGAGCTCAACAAGGATCCTTACACCGTCCTTTATCCGGGAAGCGTCTACGAGGAGGAGATAAGGCACATCGAGGACGCCTACGAACGATGTCCGCCGAGCGCCCAGTTCGAGCTAAAAAAGGGCATCAACGGGTGTTCGGTCTCCGATGGATATAGCCCAGTGCTGAAGACCATCAACGAGAGGATCTTGGACATGACGGGAGTGGAGGAGACGTTTGGTACTTTCTATATAGTCGAATACTCCCAGCTGACGACCTTTGATCCCTTCAAACTTTTTAGGAACTCTAGTAAGGTAAGGGATTGTATTTTTTATTCTTACTAGTGTTTTGGAATCACTTGGGAAGGTGTATAAACGTGTAGTAAAGAAATTCGGAATGAATCAGTCTTTTGAACACCCTCATTAGTGAACTTGTTAAATATTTATAGACATAATATCCCTCCAATTTCAGTTCCGAAAGCTCAACGCCAAAAATTTGGATAATGTCGATGCCACTGTAATAATATTTGTGAGTTGGCAACAGATATATTCTTTGTCAGATCTTATTACTTTAATAACCATGTATTTTAGCTGAAGGATTTGGCCTTGGGCGGGGCTATTACCATTCCAAATGATGGTATTTTTGTGCAACCCAAGAAGGGCAATGTGCTGATCACCTTCCAAAAAAAGGAACTCCCTACTACGGTTTGTCCAAACATCGCGGGTAGCGGATTAGGTAAATTCAATCGTTTTGTAGTAATATTTAATTCGTATTGTTAATTTTTCTTCGTTCCAGTCATGATCAAGTTTATTTTCAAGAAATAGGAGTAAGCGGATTTTTTATTCGAAGCCGTCTGAAGCTAATCATTAATATTATTAATAAATCATTTATTATTATAATAAAAGGTGTAGTGGCAAGTTAATGTAATAAAAAACTCACGTTCTTCACACGCTTATTTATTTATCCACGGAAAATTGAAAATTAGACACACGGTGATTGCTTCTTATTTAACTGCACCATACAATTTCATCAGTTTTAAAATGTTGCTGTTCCAAAGTGTACACATTTTTATATTTTTGCTTTTAATTTGTAAATCCAAAATCACGGTAAATGGGATATATCACAAAGAGTTCCTTATAAGTGAGTCAGCCAAAATGGATTTAATGCAGTTGGACACGGAACTGATCGGCAATCTAGAGAGATATGCTGAGCAAGTTGAGGACAAGGTTGCGAGACTACAGAGGTTAGTTTGAGATATTTGATATGTAAATAGTTTTCCAAATTGCTCTGTACCAGAATTGTTCAGGAGCTAAGACAGCCTCTGGAGGCTGCAAAAGGCATAGAAGAGGAGTACCTGGGCAATCCTCTACACAGTTTTCCACTCATTCGGCACATGTACCAGGATTGGCGGTATATAGAGGAGTTTATGAATAAGACAGTGGGAGAAGGTGAGGCAGGAATCCCATTTAGGAGTACCTACATTTTTAATCAATTCTATTCCAGAACAAATTGATTTTCTAAGAAAGAAACTACCAGAACTGCCCTGGCAGGCGGATACCGAGGAAGCCACCGTGGCCATGATCCGAATGGCGGAGACCTATGGAGCGAAGCCCTGGGAGATGGCTCAAGGTCTCATCGACAACGTGGCCTTCAAGTAGGTCTTTGATAATCTGGCTATACATTTCTAATTCCGTTGATTAGTACCACACTTTCAGCTCTGGACTGCTTTGAAATCGCAAAGATGTACTTCAAGTGGGGTTACTTTGTGGAGGCCCATCATTGGTTGGTCAACACTAAGTCTCTACTGTACACGGAGTACTCAGCATCTTATGAGGTGCTGGGATTGAATGAAAAGGATGTGGCATTGCTGCAGGCCCGCTGTTTAATGGAATTGGGTAGGCATTTTTAGATATTTATTTTTAGATATTTACAATTGTAATATTTCAGATCTAAAGAAAGAAGCTAAAGATGTTCTGCTGGCCCATCCCGACCTTGCGGAGAATTCGACCAACTTACTTAACCAATTCGAGGCCATTCCTTACAGGGCAGTAGATTCATCGCTCTTTTTGACTGAAGACTACAAAAGACTGTGCCGTTCTTCGTTCTCTCCGAAACCTTCCAGGCTCCACTGTCGCTACAACTCCACCACCTCGCCCTTTCTGATCTTGGCTCCCCTCAAGATGGAGGAGATCTCCCTGGAACCCTATATGGTTTTATACCATGACATCCTACCAGATAAGGACATTAAGCAGTTGATAATGCTGGCGGAGCCACAACTAAAGGCAACCGAAGTATTTAAGGAACATGGTGCCACAAGAGCTAGCGAACACACCTCCTTGGGAACCTTTCTACCCTTCAAGGACATGGACCCATCTGGGGAACCCCTGTTGGATCGACTGACCCAGAGAATGCGCGATATTACCGGCATGAAACTGTCTGACAGATATCCCGACGCTAACTTTGTTAAGTACGGATTCGGGGGTCACTACAGTTCACACTATGATTTTTTCAACGCGTCGAACTCGGATACCGAAGGTCGTGGTGATCGGATTGCCACCGTTATCTTCTATGTGAGTTTCAAAGCTCACTCAAACTCAAAACCCTTTACCTTTTTAAATATTTCAGTTAAATGATGCACCTTTCGGTGGAGCCACTGTTTTTCCACGCCTAAATATTAAAATACCTGCGGAAAAAGGTAAAGTTCTGTTCTGGTATAATATGAATGGGGAAACACACCATGTGGATCCCAACACATTACACGCCGATTGCCCCGTCTTTTATGGCTCCAAATGGGGTAAGAAATTGAAATGAAATAAATTACAAGTAATAATTGTTCTTTTATTTATTAATATTATTTTCCAGCAATGGCAGCCTGGATCCACGAGTGGGATCAGATGTTCATCCAACCCATATACCGAGAAAAATAAATAAATAATTAATGAATAAAATATTCAAAGTTTTTAATGTATCAAATATTTGTTCCAACTTTTTAGATTGTGGGTTAGTTCACATTTCCATTTTTAGCATTTGCTACGCCCTAACTAACCGTGAAACAGATCGAATCCGATGTCTAGTGGCTTAGAATTTATTTTAACAGTCTAGACAACAACCAGACATTATGAGTTTTATAATATTTATAATAATGCCTATTCTTCTATATCCCAACTGGATAGCTAAATGTTATATTGGTCGTAAAAACTACGTAACCTCAGCGGAGGAGAAAATTAACTTGCTGGAAAAAGATAGAGAACTCATTATCCTACTCAATAGTTATGCACTGGAACTGGAAGACAAGATCAACGTGCTGCGAGGGTGACTAAAAATATATTTGGAATACCTTGTACTAATTAATATATACATCAGGGTAGCTAAGGAATTCAAAAAGCCCTTAGAAGAAGCCCATGGTAGAGAAGAGGAGTATTTGTCGAACCCTATGAACAGGTTGACTCTCCTCCGTCAGATGCACGAGGATTGGGAGCCGGTGGAGAAATTCATGCAGCAGCCAGTGGGTCAAGGTAGGATCTCACATATCAACATATTATATTACTAATTCTTTTTAAAATAAGCCCAAATTGAGTCGATTATGAGTATCCATAAGGAACTTCCAATGCAAAATGACTTGAATGAAGCTAACCATGCCATGTTTCGCATAATCCAAGCTTATGGCTTGGAACCCAAGGATGTGGCCAGAGGATTGGTGGATGGCGTGCAATACAGGTAAGGTCACTTTAAAGCTACCTTATAATACCGTGAAAAAGGTATTTTATCTCAAATAGAGGTAACCTATCTGCTAGTAATTGCTATGCCATGGGGAAGTTCGCCTTCAAAGCTGGTAATTACCAAATGGCTTCCAAATGGCTTAGCGTGGCAAAGGACTTGTTGATGGAACAGCCACGTAAATACCATGAGTTGATCGGGGTCACCATCATGGATATTACCTTGCTACTTGCTCGCTCTTTAATAGCAAATGGTGTGTATTCGCTATCAAGGAAGAGTGGCATTTTTGGTTTATAAACTAGTCTTTGGCAGGAAATATAAACATCGCACGTGATATGCTGATGGACGATTCCATTCTCAGTGAAACGGGTAATGTGCTCTCCTTGCACTTTATAAGGAATTCACCCAGACCAACCATTAACGTGGAGCCCTGGGAATCCGCTGGAACCTTCAATGATCTCTGTCGCTCTGCGAGCAGAAGGCAGTCGAATGAAACTAAGCCCACGAGGCTACACTGTCGCTATAATACCACAACGTCGCCTTTTCTTAAACTAGCCCCCTTTCGAATGGAGGAACTCTCGCTGGACCCTTATATAATGCTCTATCACAATGTTCTGAGCGACCTCGAGATCGAAAAGCTGGAGCAGATGAGTGGACCGTTTCTGGAGCGAACCAGGGTCTTCCTTGCGGAAAACGGTACCGAACAGATTGCCCCCAGCCGTTCCGCCGATGGGGTGTGGCTTCCCCATCTGGAAACGAAACCCGAAGATCTGGAAATTCTAATTCTAATTGAACGGAGAATTGGAGACATTACGGGTCTAAATATGCGCACTGGAGGAAAAATGCAGTTCCTGAAGTACGGTTTCGGGGGTCACTTTGTCCCACACCACGACTATTTCGATTCCAAAACCAGTTTCTTGGAGATGGCTGGCGATCGTATTGCCACTGTTCTGTTTTATGTAATAGAACATTTATTAAAAAATGTATTTTTCTGATATGTTTACTTTATAGCTTAATAATGTGGAGCATGGCGGAGCCACTGCTTTTCCGAAAATAAATTTGGCTGTACCAACTCAAAAAGGATCGGCATTGTTTTGGCACAACCTTGATGGAGAGTCCTACGACTATGATAAGCGCACCTTTCATGGCGCCTGTCCCCTGATATCTGGAAATAAGTTGGGTAAGCTATAAAGTATAATACTTCTAATAAATAGTTGTATGATTTCTCCTAGTAATGACCCGTTGGATTTACGAGTTGGATCAGATGTTCCTTTTGCCCACTATGCATCCTCCTCGCAGTCGTAACTTTAGCAGATCTCTTCGTAATCAAGTGTAAAAAGTTGTTTTATTTATAGCTTAAATAAAAAGTAAAACAAATCATTAGGCTAATCCAGTTTTGAAACGAGATGGTATTGATTTAAACTAGATAATTTAATTTATAAGATGATTCAGATATGATATTTAATGAACTTGCTTCCCTCTTTGCAATACGTAATTAATGCGGAAGTTTGCCTTCTCATCTTTATTTATTAGTTATTTTCCTCCCAACTATGGATAGTTTTCCTCCCAATTACCACTCCGTACCTTGAACTTCGATTCGCTTTTCTTGGCAGGCATTGGTCATCAGCTCATTGCACCATTAAGTGGGCAATTAAATTCAATTAGCCGCAGTTCTCCGCCTCTTGCCGAAGAACTTCCCTGTGGTTCTGGTTCTGGCCATTTATCACGCCTGGCTGAAAAGCCCCCCCTTTCCCATTCCCAAATCTTCGCCCATTCCCTTCAAGAGTTCTCTGCAAGTTTGCACTTCGATTTCGATTGGCGCTGCTAATAATTTTCCAGATTTATTGTTTGCTCGCTTCCTGTTTGCTCGACTCTCCAAAGGAAAGTTTTCCAATTCCGACTTGGATTTCAATTAAGATTGATGGCCTGCACTTTTCTCCTGGAGGAGTGCGGTGCATTTGTCTTGATTTCACCTTGCCGGATTGAGTCCTTTCAACTGCCAGACAACATATGTACGCAGGTTTATCCTCCCCCAAAGGTAAGGCCTGCAATTTATCAAAATTTGCGCACACCCTGCGGATGAGTGATGTGTTGAGGGGCAGGAAGTTGGCTACAATTGGCATGCGTGGCTTCCTGTTTGCATTTATCTATGTGTTTCCTGGTAATAGTGGTGGCTAAGGTACTTTTGTTTCGCACTATTTTTGGAAGAATTTATTTGGACAAAAGAAGTACTTCTGCAACCCGCTAACATCGCTTGATATAATCATAAACTTACCTAAACGGTTCTTAGCTTTTAATGAATAAATCCATTAGTTAAAAAGTACATACTTAATAAATAAAAAGAAACACAAGAATTCTACAAAAAAATAATGATCATTACATGGAGTTAACAAATAATCGTCAGATCGAAGAATGGCATGCCTCTTTGTGCTCGTTGTTTGGTTTCCAATCCAATGGCGTTGAAACCTAAAATTTTTTATCTTTTGACATTTTTCGCAAAAAAACACGATGCACCCCCTATAAAAAATGCGAAAATGGGTCAAAAAATAAATTTTCCTTAAAATGATTGGAATCGTTAGCATGGCTAGCAAGCTGCTCAAAACAGTCGGTCTTTTTGCTGTACGCCTAAAATTGGCTAAACTACGACTAAAAAACGGGAAAGAAAAATCGCATTTTTGACTAAAATGTGAATCTCGTAATTTTGACCAAAACCTGAATCCCACTTTTTAGACATAAAAATTTAGTTTTTTGGCTGCTATAACAAAAATAATCGTCAGAGCGAAGAATGGCATACCTCGTTGAGCTCGTTGTTTGATTTCCAATCCAATGGCGTTCAAACCTAAAATTTTTTATCTTTTGACATTTTTTGCAAAAAAACACGGTGCATAAAAAATGCGAAAATGGGCCAAAAAATAAATTTTCTTTAAAATAATTGGAATCGTTAGCATGGCTAGCAAGCTGCTCAAAACAGTCAGTCTTTTTGCTGTACGCCTAAAATTGGCTAAACTACGACTAAAAAACGGGAAAGAAAAATCGCATTTTTGACTAAAATGTGAATCTCGTAATTTTGACCAAAACCTGAATCCCACTTTTTAGCCATAAACATTTAGTTTTTTGGCTGCTATAACAAAAATAATCGTCAGATCGAAGAATGGCATACCTCGTTGAGCTCGTCGTTTGATTTCCAATTCAATAGCGTTCAAACCTAAAAATTTTTATCTTTTGACATTTTTTGCAAAAAAACACGATGCACCCCCTATAAAAAATGCGAAAATGGGTCAAAAAATAAATTTTCCTTAAAATGATTGGAATAGTTAGCATGGCTAGCAAGCTGCTCAAAACAGTCGGTCTTTTTGCTGTACGCCTAAAATTGGCTAAACTACGACTAAAAACGGGAAAAAAATAGCATTTTTGACTAAAATGTGAATCTCGTAATTTTGACCAAAACCTGAATCCCATTTGTTTGCCATAAAAATGTAGTTTTTTGGCTGCTATATAAAAAATAATCGTCAGATCGAAGAATGGCATACCTCGTTGAGCTCGTCGTTTGATTTCCAATCCAATGGCGTTCAAACCTAAAAATTTTTATCTTTTGACATTTTTCGCAAAAAAACACGATGCATACAAAATGAGAAAATGGGTCAAAAAATAAATATTCTTTAAAATGATTGGAATCGTTAGCATGGCTAGCAAGCTGCTCAAAACAGTCGGTATTTTTGCTGTACGCCTAAAACTGGCTAAACTACGACTGAAAAACGGGAAAGAAAAATCGTAATTTTGACCAAAACCTGAATCCCACTTTTTTGCCATAAAAATTTAGTTTTTTGGCTGCTAAAACAAAAATAATCGTCAGATCGAAGAATGGCATGCCACGTTGAGCTCGTCGTTTGATTTCCAATCCAATGGCGTTCAAACCTAAAAATTTTTATCTTTTGACAGTTTTCGCAAAAAAACACGATTCACCCCCTATAAAAAATGCGAAAATGGGTCAAAAAATAAATATTTCTTAAAATGATTGGAATCGTTAGCATTTTTAGCAAGCTGTTCAAAACAGCCGGTCTTTTTGCTGTACGCCTAAAATTGGCTGAACTACGACTGAAAAACGGGAAAGAAAAATCGAATTTTTGACTAAAATTTGAATCTCGTAATTTTGACCAAAATCTGAATCCCATTTTTTTGCCATAAAAATTTAATTGACTCCCAAAACTGCAAGCTTATAGTTCTTAAGAATATTTTCGAAATAAATCCTTTTAAAAGTTAAAAAAATAATAAAACTTAGTGTTTTGATAAACAAGATATATAATGGTCAAATACTGTAACACAAATCGCAATCCTTTGGAATTCAAGTTTAATTTTTTTAATTGTGCCTAAATAGGCTTCAAAGTACTCTTAAGTATTTAAGGACCTTTCACAACTGATTTGTACCTACCTACCTAGAGATGGCATCCTGTACCACTCTCTCCAGTCTGTTCCTGACTTAAATTGCTTTTTTCAATGCCAACGGCTGCTCCTGCAAGGACCTCCTGCCCTCGAGATCCTGCTCCTGCACATCCTGTCACATGCGGAGCCAAATGTCATTTCAGCAAAATCCCTCAAGTCGTTCGTCTGCCCTTTTCGGTCCTGTGTGCGTAGGAAAACATTGTGCAAAATATGTTGGCAACATTTTTCTGCGGCTGCTTAAATTGCATTGGGAAATAGGTTGGGGAGCTGAATAAAAGACAATGAGCTGTGTGTTTCCCTGCTGAAAGGTGCATTTGTTACATCCTGGGAATTTGTGCATGTGATTTTGGGTATCACGAATATTCGGGCGTTATTTTAAAGTATGCTAAGAAAGATTTTTACTTTCATAAGTGATGAAAGGAGTTTATGCTTAAATTCTGGGTAATAGGTTATTTATTTAGATGTCTTAGGCCTATTATATAAAACCTGTGATCTGCTTCTCCTTAAGTGTTTCGTATTTTTATCTGAGAGATAGATCTACAACCAGAAATCCCTTGAGGGGATTTTCTTTTATCCCTCGCTTGTTGCTCCTGTTCTAATAAAATTAAAATGCCAACCATTTGCACTCGACTCGGTGACTCCCCTGAAATGCGATATTCCTAGCTTAAGTCTCCGGAACTTCGTCTCCGTTGACTGTTAAAAAATTAGCAACAATTTTTCAGCATCGCATCAAAACGCGCGCGACTGTCAACCGCATCCCGGGATGAATCCACCCCTTGAGATCCCAATGCCAATCCCAATCCCATTCCCACTTGCCAAGGAGCTGACTTACTTCCAGCTACACCTTGTTACATCCCCGTCCCCCGGAAAACCACGCACTTTGTCATCTGGCAGCATCTCCGCTTCTGCCATCCGAGGGGTAATTTGATATGCTGTGGCTTACATTTTTTATCCACCATTACCACAAAACGATTTACTTCCGCGTAGCAATTTGCTTTAAATTTTTATTTAAACAACAATTTGCTCGAGCGCAGATTGAGATTTCCGCTGAAAGATTTGTTTGTGCAAGGGGTGGGGATAGGATTTGGGTTGGCAGGAGGGAAATGGGAAATCGCTTTCCACATTGTCAACTCATTGATGCACCTTCAGCGCGGTGTCCTTCGCCTCAAGGATCCCTGGCTGCAACGGACACTCGACAAATTAATTTGCTCTAGACTGTTCAGACAACTGGGCGTGGTCATGTCCTTGCTCCTTGATGAGTGTCCTTCGTGGTGTCTAAGTTTCTGGGTACCCCTCTGTATACTCTTTCAGAGGTTTTATACATTTCGTTCTCAGTTTTGCAACTCATTTTCTAAAAATTAGCTAAATACATATTATTTTGTAATAGCCAAAATGATCAAACAATCCCTTATAAATAAATAATTGATTGTATAGGACATTTTGTAAGCGTATTTAGTTTGGATATATTTTAATCTGATTTTCAAAGACTTTCCTTTTTTGTTTTCTTCATCTTAAATTGGTTTTATGTTCGCTGGTGTTTTTGCCTTTTTCTTTTGCATCTTTTTGTGTGGAGAGGAGATTCCTAAAAATATATTTAATCTTCAAGGTGATTTCCCACCCTCAGAATCGTGTTTCTTTTTTCATGTTTTTCCGCGGTTTTTAATTTGATTTCTTGCACCTTGGCTAATTGGCAATCGGATGCGCTGATGTTGCTGACAGTTTCCACTCAAGCATTTTCACCGCCCCGAATTTAAGCGCTTTAAATTATCCCCAAGGATGTGCGAGGCTGTGGGCGGCGGAAAAGGGGGAGTGGCTGCCGGTCCAAACTCCTGGCGTTAATGGCTCTTTTATGGCCGCCACTGTGCGGTCCCCGCTTTTGTGGCAGCTGCAAATATT